GACCGGCGGGTTTTTTTCGGAAATAACAGGCCCGGGACCGGCCCTCCACATGGCCGGTTCCGGTTAAAAAACCGGATCTAATGGGCCGGGTCCGGGCCGGGTCCGGGCCGGGTCTGGGCCGGTTCGCGGGTTCGGTTCGACCCGTGGTCATGTCTAATTAGAGGTGAACGACTACCAAATGCAAGAGAATTTTATAAGGCGGTCACTTTATGCGAGCAGAATTAATACGAAAAATGAATATAAAATTCTCCCCGTATATCCTCCCTATATATAATTTCAGAATGTGCTGAGCCTACGTGGTTGCTTCTGTTGCTTCGTAATTCTATTTGGCAAAGAATCATACTTTATAATTAGATTTGGACAAATAATATTGATATGTTAATAAATAATAATTTAGGTTTGAACATTCTATAAATATTATTTAGCTAACTTGGGTATTGTAATATCAATTGTACTAATATGACCCTTTAATTCCTCCCTATATATAATTTCAGAATGTGCTGAGCCTACGTGGTTGCTTCTGGTACTTCGTAATCCTACTTGGCGAAGAATCATGCGTTGTAATTAGGTTTGGACAAATAATATTGATATATTAATAAATAATAATTTAGGTTTGGACATTCCATAAATATTATTTAGCTAACTTGGGTATTTTAATATCAATTGTACTAATATAACCCTTTAATTCTTTGTATTTTATATAATGAGGCACTAAGTGACTAATGTATACTTTTGATTTGTTTCCTTCAATTAGCTATTGAATTGTAAATGTAATTTAAAAGTTGATAACTTTTGTATTTCTTATCGGTTTTACATATATAATATATCAAATTAATCATCTTTTGATGATCTTCGATTTGACATCCATATTGTATATATGAAATAAATAAATTATATTTATGTTTATAATAATAAAAAATAATAATATTTATTAAAATTCATTAGAAAAATAAAATTATTCTAAACTGATATATTTATGTTTAATATAGTTATTTGTTGTAAGTTACGAAAATTATTACAGTATAACACATGTAAGTCGCACAAATAAAAAGTGTCATACTAATTATATAATAATATATATATATTTATAAAAGGTATTTAGATTTTCTACTATTTTTCTCATTAATTTTATATTTTAAGAAAAAAATTAGCACATACCCGTGTAATACACGGGCGTTGTACTAGTAAATATATATTTTACAATGTGTTAGTATGAATCCCGTGAGATGCACGGTAAGAGATATTAAATAATATTTATAAATTAAAATTGTTCATTAAATAATATTTATAAGTAAAAATTATAGAATCAATATGTAATACAAGTTACTTATATTAATTTATTGATAATTTTAATAAAATTTAAGTTGTGGAAAATTACCTTAAACATGTTTATTTAAATTAATGCACAATATGTAAGGTGCACATAACTGACAATAAATTACATTATATTCAATTCAAAATAAGTGACATTTTAAAATTTTAATCATAAATTTGATTTGAATGCACTGTGATTTCATAAAGTAAATATTTTGGTAAAGTTTTATCATATATTTAAAAACCTATGTGTATAATTAGTATAATTATGAAAATTATATTGTTTCATTAATTAAAATGAATTTATTGTTGTATAAAATATCCCAATCAAAAAAATTAAGTAGTTGAGAAATTTAGTAAACTATTAAATAATTGACTATTCTATTTACGTACAAGTTAATATTGACGCGTAAGGTATAAATAATTAATTATTTGACTTCTAAATTTGGAACCGAATTTAGACTCCCCAATAAATTCTCATATATATATATATGGAATAGTTCTCGTGCGGCTTTTATCTTAAAGTGCGAACGTGAGACCGCATTTCGTCCGTTCACTGCGCATCTAATCTAATGATGAGGATTTATTTATTACATTAATTAATTTTGGCGGGCGGTTTCATTAAGATAATTATTCCGTCTTTTCATTTCTCATCTGACATAATTCTCTTACTTTTTTGCACTTGCTCCCGCTTCCATTTCCACGCCTGCTCGATTTCGATTTTGATTTTCATTTTTGTCATCAATTTCTGTTTC